TAAAAAGACAGTATAAGTCATTATAATCAGTAATTATGTCCCCACTGCATGCAACAAATGCCTCGTTTGTAATGGGTTTTAATGTTTATGTCTCGTCGCTCCGGCCGGACACGGCATCAACAGTATGTGAGGGGCGTAACATTTCCGTCACACGCTTGAGGTATTCAGCCAATCACAATGCATTGGATGGCTGGCCAATCAGAACACACCTCGCTTTTCGGACCGATGAGCTTTGTAAAAATCGATGCGTTTCAGAAAGGCGGGGCATAGAGGAGAAACAATAATGTACAGTATGTGGAAAATAATGTGTTTTTTAACTTTAAACCGCATAAACACATTTCATTACACCAAATACACAAAAGAATGTTCTTTTTAGCAACATCATATGACCCCTTTAATGCCGAGGCATCTGAAGATCGAGGTCTGGATGGCCACGCCTAACAATTACAGTCAGAAGTCAGAAATGGAACAAAATTTGAGGTGACTACAGATGTTTAAATTGAGAGCAAATACACCATTTGTACAATGTCCCAAAAAATAAATAAATAAGTAAACAAATAAAATAAAATAAACAATTAAAAAAATTAAACATTTAGCATATTATTATTATTTAATACATAATAGTTATACATACACACGTGTGTGACAAATTTGACCATCAAGCATGATGATTATTATTAGCCTATTATTATTAAAAATAATAAAATTATTACACAAATCAGAAAAATTCCAGATTACAGCTGTTTAAATTGAGCATAAAAGCACCATTTGTACAACTGACAAATGCGATTTTATCATTATTACTCATAACAGTAATATGCTTATTTTCATTTAATTCAATAATTAACATGTTGGTATTGTTATTATTAGTAGGTAGGCCTACTGACATTACCCAACAATTATTACTATTCAGAAGTTTTTCCTTATAAAAATTCGTACTTTTTTTAAGCACAACTAAGATAAAAATTTGAATAGAAATGTTGGAGACGAGTCAATTTTTTTCTTTTCTTTTTTTTTTCTTCACATGTCCATGAAGTACATTCTGTCTGTACAAAGTAATGTGAATGGTATCAAAGGAACAGCACAGAGGCCTTGACACTGATCAACCAATAACTTTACCGCATTTAGAAAATAAATAAAAATAGAACATGAGCCACTGGATGCCATGGTGAATTCATGAGCCACTGGATGAATTATGGAGTGATAAAAGCATACAATTAGGGTATAATGGATTTTCTTTAGTGTTTAGAAATTTATTAAACAAAGATGAGGTCCAAGTGCAAGTGATAGGTCCAGTTATGGCAGAGATGTCAAACTGGGGTATCCAGACTGACAGACAAGCACTTACTTATACACACACACATACACACACACACAATCCTTGTGGGGACTCCCCATAGGCGTAATGGTTTTTATACTGTACAAACTGTATTTTCTATTACCCTACACCTAAACCTACCCCTCACAGAAAACTTTGTGCATTTTTACAATCTCAAAAAAACTAATTCTGTATGATTTATAAGCTTCTGTACCCATGGGGACCTCAGTTTAGTCAATTCCCCATGAGTTGGTTTGTATTCAGATTGAAGTCCCCACCAGTATTGAAAAACATGTACACAGATACACACACACACACACACACACACACACTCTCTCTCTCTAACAACAGTATGCACACAGGCCTATTAATATAAATTTGTGGTCAAGAAGACTAATTATAAACAAGCAAGCTTACATGCAGAGAAACAGGAAAATTAAAAATAGATGACAATAGTAAATAAGTGGATAAATTAAAGCAACAATTGTCTTCAAATAGAGGGCAACATGTCTAAGATTCTCCTAATATAACAACTACAGAGCCCTAAGTTTAACCTGCGATAGGGTTCAGTCAGTTGTGTGTATATTTTAGTGCCATCTGCAGAATCCTGAGAAAGAACAAATCACAGTTTCCACAAAAATATTGAGTAGCACAACTGATAATAATAAGAGATGTTACAAATTTAGCATATCAGAATGATTTCTGAAAAAAATCTGGCTTTGCATATCAGAGCAATAAATAGCATTTTTAAATATATTCAAAACAGTTATCTTCAATTGTAATATTTCACAATATTACTGTTTATACTGTATTTTTAATCAAATAAATGCAGCCTTGCTGAGTGTAAGAGACTTGTTCACAACTCCTACCTTTTGCATGTTAGTTTATTACACATTTTGTATAATATGATTATGCATGCAGCTACAAGAACAGTAGCCAAGTTTTCTTCCACTTTTTGCGGTTTATTATTAAAATGCATTTAAAAGGTTTGTGAAAAATGCTGTCTCCAGCCTGTTTCCATCCAATTGGCCCTTTACAGATAAAACAGTACGCATAATAGCATCATCCCTTTAAAAAAATTAACTGTTGCAAAAGTAAAAAAAATAAATTAAATTATAATAAAATGTCACTTAAGCAAAGAGACATTGTTTCAATGTCTGTTTTTTCTATTTTGAATTACTGTTAAACATTTTAATGCGCTAATACATCTTAGCAAAAAATCCTTGGATGAAAACTTGACAAGTGTTTCAGCTCCATTTAACACATTTTACCACATTCAAATATAGAATTAAACAGATTCTTCTAAAAAAAAAAGGCACACAGAACGTGTGGAAAATGTCTGTTCCGTCTGTGCCTGACTGTAGCATGAGCATAATAAATCCTGAATTTCTCCATTACTCCCTAAAACCTCAAAACAAGCAGGCTCACCTTCAAAGGCACACCGCCGGCAAACTAATAAAAAAAAACACACAAGAATAAAACCTGTCCAGCAACATGCTTTAGGTTAGAATGTTTGTGTGGTTGTTTAAGAATGAAAGAGACAGAAAAACGACAGATGCCCCAGTCATGACATAACAATACTACCGAGTGTAATAAGTCATTTTCCATAGTTACTAAATTTACCATAGTTACTACACAGTTATAAAACACATGAAAACATGACAGTCAACAATCCAAACAGTAGCTGATGACAGATGTGCTGTCCAATATATATATATGAAGAGTTCAGATGCAAAAGCCTCTAAGTGCCGTCTGAAATTTTCTTCTAAAATGAGCATTTTTTAATCACTCTCCTATATTTATGTTCAGTTATTTCACTTTAATTGCATAGAAAATGACCTATACATTGCCATTAGAGTAAAATTACTGAACCTAAACATCGGAGCCTGTTAAAAATGCTCATTTTAGATGCAAATTTCAGATGGCACTAACAGGCTTTTGCATCTGAACTCTTCATGTATATATATATATATACACACACACACACACACATATCCATACATACAATTAGCTAATTCATTTTTGGGCTGTGCAATTGTGACAAATATGGTATGTTACATTATTACAAATTACTCTGAAAGTGCTTCACATAATTGTCTATGCGTATCATGATACAAAAATGCACTAACTTGAATAAATAGAAAATAAAAAATACAGTGCATAAAGAGAAACAACTTGAAAATTCTGCAGATTTTCAGTAGTTTCCTATTTTGCAGTGACTCTAGCAGGCATTCCGACATTCAATACAAGACACAAGAGTTCTCGCAACTTTTGAGAGGACCTTTTTCTATTTTTTACTTGTGTATCATATTGTCATAAGAGGTTATGTGTAATAGGTATTTCCTTCCAATTTCTAAATTGTAAAATAGCTCATACTTGGTTGCGGCCCCATGGGGCCACTGTTGTGTCTTTATCAGATGCACATGCTGGAGCCACTGCAGCTTGTGTTGATTCTAAAAGATCGCCAGGTTCAATCAGCCCACTGGGTCGGTGTTGCAGCTCTCCTCATGTCACAATGACCGTCTCTATCAATCCCTCTATATTCCCCCTCACTCTTTATTTTCCGCCGCAGTTCGATCTGTTTTTGGTCATTGAGTCTTTGACCTCATTTCAGTGTGACTGATCTGAATCTGCCGTGTTACTACATTCTCCTGCACTCTGACTCAAACTTTACCTTCCTCCTTTCTGACCCTATCTGAAAGCTCTTTCTCTACAAAGCTCCGACTTTTGGGGGGATATTCGCTAAAAATGAATGAAGCATCAGTGAGTACACTTCAATACGGTACACTGCTAGACCAGTTAAGATTGGATCAGAGATGTCCACTTGTATTACAGTGAATAGGAGAATGTTGAAACGTCCAAGATAATCAGCAAAGTCATGGTTTGGCCTTTACAAAAATTCTTGGTGTTCGATAGCAGCCGTGAAGTGGTTGGTCTTGTGAAACTTTGCTCTATACGATAAGTGTATGGAGTGCCAGCAGAATGAGTCCTAAAACCCCCAAAACTAGTTAGCATTTTTGAACTTCTGGTTCCGTTGTCCTCAAGTCAGTGAGTTTTTCGAATGGGTTTTTGAATAAATATCTGTAATAACACAAGCTTGAGATATTTTCACACTATTCTACAACATACCGTAAAATACATCCCTAATACCTTTAAAGGGGTCATAAACTGCCTTTTTTATCATGTATATTGTTCTCTGAGGTCCACATATAACGTTATCAATGATTTGTACATCAAAAAACATCATAATGTAGAAGTAATAGGCTATTTTCTGTCCTGTTTTGACCCTCTGTTTGAATAAGTGTGGCGGATTGTAGACTTGGAAGTAAACGCCCACTGCTAGATTGGCCAACAGTTGTGTATGTTTGACAGCCTACATCCTTCATAGATGGTGTGTTTTAGGTTAAAAGTACATATCAAACGATCTGTAATAACAAAGCAATAGTGACCATGTAATTAAAACAGTTACTCACACTTGTGTGGTGCGACATTACTGTCGGATTCAATATAGTCACACAGCATCGTCTTTTAGTTTCTATCTTTCTAAAAATCCTGCGTCGAATTGTGCTATGAATCTGTGAACAAAGGATCAAGTTCTTCCTGATCTGCACAGCGTCTTGCTGTCTTTGGAGCATCTTTATCGCTTGGTTTCTGCGTAGACCTGCGTTTGCCTCTCTCATTATGTACACTACAGATGCGAATTGGTGGGCGGGGCTAAACAGGCAGTGATGTAGAAGCAGGCGTTGATCTTCTGCGGAGGCGGGGTTTAGCCACACTATTACGTCATAAAGTGGCACATTCCACAACCTGTCATTTTTGGCAGTTTGGCTTTAATTTTGGCTTTAGTAAGCTGTTTTTAGACTAATGAGAAAGTTTTGAGTTCTGAAACGTACAGGATGTTTTTATAGTACAATGACCTCTCATATTATGTCAAAAGATCAAGGGAATTAGCCAATGGGTTAGCAAATAAGATGCGTGCAGAAATACTGCACTGGCGCAACCGTTTAGTGAATTCACCCCACTATATTGCCCTTTCGTTCTTTTCTCCCAGGCGGTGAGAGGCCCCTTTCCCTTCTCTATTCTCCATCTTTTGTGCATTCTGTCTTTTCTCAGCCCATCTTAAGCATGACCTATTGTCATTAATCAGTCCTAAACTGTGCCTTTATGGTCCTCTTTGCCTTGGTCCCCTGTCCAAGTCTGTCTTTCCAGCTTTTGTCCATTTGCTGGTTCTCTCTCTCTCTCCCTACCCCCGGTTCCAACTCCTCCCTCCATCCTGACCCTTTCCCTTTCTTTCTCTATCTATCTCCCTTTCTTTCTTTGACCGCTGCTTTCCCCCGTGCCCTTTCGTCTCAGCCGCATGGCTCAGTGTATGTGTGGGTGTGGGTGCTCACTGCAGGAGTCTTGTCGAGATGGTGGTGTGGGCCGAACAAAAGAGGCTGAGGGAGAGGGGGAAGAACAGGGGGATGGAGAGAACTGGTCAGGGCAGGGAGGGACAGAGGAGAGCTGCAGAGCCACCTCGTTCTCGTAACAGAAGGAGGAACGGGAGCCCAGGATGTACTTTTTCTCGTCTAACTCTTTGGCACTGCAGGTGGGCGTGTCCGAGACCTCATAAGTCCTGTTGAAGTACGAGTAATCCACCTAGAGGTGGGGAGGACACATGACAAGTACAGAGTATAACTAGATTTACATTTCTAGAGGAAAAACCTTGCAAGTCAGGAAAAGAACATTGTTCATTAATAGTAGAGTAGTTTTCGGGTTTTGGTTCTACACAAACGAAATGAAGCATGAGAGCTGCTTTTTGTGAATTTTGAGAATCAACATTCACAACACCATCTTTTTGGTATCGATAGCTCATATTTATTCAGAAATGATCAAGATTCAGAATTAAGAATGCCTTTTAAATTCCAATTAAGTTTAAATTCCAAATCAGTTCCAATGAATTTAAATTGAGGTAAAAACAGAATTGCAATTTAAATTAAAGTAGAATTCAAATTAGTTGAAATCCAAAGAAATCCATAGCCCCAAAAGATGTCATGTTTAACTAGAAAAGGAAAATGTGTCAAAACTGTCTTTAAATGTTAACATGACAATGCCCTGATTAAAAAAAAGGTTAAAGGTTTTACAGGCCTTACAGATAAACCATTAGATAGATTGGGTTGATTTTATCATATTTAATAACTTTCATAAAATAAATCCTTCATTTATGGACCAAGGAGGTCGAACACTGCTCTTCATAAATTCTTTAAAACAGCAAATTTGTGTTCCTGTTATATAAATTAAGTGTGGCCAATTTAATTGCGTTGCTTCTTTCTGGTAATTTTAATATAAATCTGGCAACACTGTAAGAAAAACACAGTCACAACTGAATATGCAAACATATTTGCTGTTGGTTTAGGCGATCATTCTATTAGTGCAAGACAATAGAAGATTTTGAAAAAAATTTTATGAAATAATTTTTTTTTTTAAATAAAACTTACAAATATTTTTTAAAAAAATTGGACAGGATTCTGTTAAGTAAAATGGGGCTGAATTATTTGTATAAGTCAAATATTTAGTGTTGGGGGTTTAGAACGAATGCTAACCAGAATATTTGAGGAATATCAATGCAATGCTGCTTTACAAACACAGTATTGAGTCCCATCTGGTACTTCTACATTTACAAGCACTGCATTTTCATTCAATAATCCCTTTACTCCTTTCAACTCCATCACTCTCCACCCTCCATTTCTTTATTCTCGTTGTCTCACCTGGTAGCAGTTCTTCCTTTCAACGAGCACAGGTTCAAAGCGGTGACCCCAGAGGATCTCAGAGGCCAGGTATGAAGATCGGCGTTGGGTTGTCATGGCAGTGGCCTCCACCATGCCCTCCAGAATCACCACCACCTCCATCTCTTTGTCTCCCTCTAGTGTACGTTTGTCCGCTTCAAAGAAGGGGCTCTCCTCATTAATTTCGTGCACAATTGTCACAGGTGACACCAAAAAGATGCGATCTGTTCCTGTGTCAAAGCCGACGTTTAGGTCTGCATTGTCCAATGACAGGAACTCACCCTCAGGGGTCACCCGTGGCTGCAGGAAAGGTCAAAAGCATTCACTGATCAGTCATTTTTATGAACTGTCATTTAATATTTATTAACTGTAGTCCATTTTATTTGAACTGAAATAGCACAATTTTTGTCAATGAAAACGTTTTAGCTGACAAAAAAATGTGTCAAACTGTAACATAATAAACTTTAAAAAGTTATAAATATGTATTTAAATATATCAAAGACATAAAATATGAAAATTTGCACACAAAAAAATATTTAATTCACAGTTCTCAAAAAACTCTTTAGCGTACATTTGCATTTGCATAAACTATTTTTTCCTCTTCTAAAACATTGTTAAATCATTATTCTGACTGACTATAATTGTGATGCATCACACAAGATTTTCACTTTCATTGTTTATAAATTGCTAAAAACTTTGTGCATATATAGCACCTGGTGAGGACAGTATTATTAAAGAAGATACGCAATGTAATTACATTCTATTGTTTTCCATATCTGTAAATTCACAGAAAAGAACAATGTTTTTATGATTGTATGTGTGTGAATACTGTTTACAGTCATCTATATTATTCCAGTCAACTTAGTCAATAACATACTCTATGAAATATAAGAATTTATTATGTTCAAACAACTGACCATCTGACCTCAAATCATCAGGACGTGTTAGAAACAGCACATTATTGCATGTGGATATGACAGGGGTGTTGCTAGGGTCAGAAGAGATAAGGGACTTAGCCCCTAAGAAAAAGACCCCCGCCCCTGTCACGAGTAAATGACCAACTACAGCTGCACGATTCTGGATAAATTGAAAATGTATGTTCTCTTTTGTTTAAAATAGAGATCATGATGCTCCCATGATTCGGGGGGGGGGGGCTTTTCCTTCTGGAGCATCAATGAGCATTTGAAACTTTTGTAATAGTTGCGTATGAGTCCCTCAGTTGTACTGAAGTTGTGAAAAGATGGATCTCAAAATCATACAGTCATTGTTGGAAAGGGTTCAAATACACAAAAGATGCTGAAAAAAAACAAAACAAAGCATTTGTGGGACCTGCAGGATTTTTCTGAAGAACAGCAGGCAGTTTAACTCTTCAGGACCTACAAGGGACTCATGAACAACTATCACAAAAAAAAACAATAATAATAATAATAAAAATAACAGCTGTGGATCATCCAGGTAACAACACAGTATTATGAATCAAGCGTATGTAAACTTCTGAACAGGGTCATTTTTATAAATTCAACAATTATTTTCTCTTGGGGACTACATGTAAACGTCTTTTATGTGAAATTCAGGTCAGTACTAAATAAAAAATAACATGCATTTTGTATGATCCCTCTTAGTTTGGTCAAATAATTAACATTTTGCTACTGCAAAGTGTATGTAAAATTTTGACCACAACTGTATAACAAGGGCTTCAAAGCTGCATTTAGTGGAATGAGCATGTAAGGCAGGGCGGTATGTTAACTTTTTTTGCATATTTGCACTGGTGCTACAGAGGTTGAAAGATTTGTAGCACAGGCCACACAATTGTAGCTCAAAAACATGTTATCATTCCTGAAAACAATCACAAGTATTGCAGTTCATCACTTAAACAGGACATTTATGTTCTTATATTTACTATATAAAAACATTAAACAAAGTAAGAAATATTGTAATAACAGAGTGTACCAAAAAAAACAAAAAACAACAAAAAAGTGTACATTCCCGCATCTATCACTGTATAGAATACTATAATAGCATTAAGTTATTTAAAAAAGTTATTTAAAAAATTCGACTGATGTTATTAAGGGAATTTGGACTAAAAACATGTAATTAAATGTTCTCTTTGTTTGACAACTTATTTGTAAAAAGGCTCACACACTTTGCAAAACTGAATCACATGTGCACTACTAAATATATATATATATTTTTTATATGTAAATGTAAATTTATTCATCTCACAGACCGATTTTTTCGTCTATGTCGCACTGTGCAGGCCTGTAAGCCAGGTAAGCTTTTAAGTGAAGTGACATGTGGCCAAGTATGGTGATGAATTGTAGGTGGGGGGGAGTGAATATCCAGCACTCTCTCCACCTTCAATAACACGACTGAGGTGAGACCCTTGAGCAAGGCACTGAACCTCCAACTGCTCCCCGGGTGCCGCGGCATTGACTGCCCACTGTTCCGAGTGTGTGTTCACGGTGTGTGTGTTCACTGCTGTGTGTGTGCACTTGGATGGGTTAAATGCAGAGCACAAATTCCGAGTATGGGACACCATACTTGGCCACACGTCACTTCACTTCACTTTAATTAAGTCATACGCACACGCATGCGCACACACACACATATACAGGGCAGATAAGTGAGACAATGGTTTGCTCTGGTAAAATTAATCCCCTCTGCAAATCTTATAAACCTCCGGGATTTATTGTGAACAACACAAGCCCTCATTAACCACACCAACTGTCCAGATGTCAATCTCTCTCGTTCCTTTTCTCTTTCATTCGCTCTCTCTCTCATCTTGCCATGTATTCTGCCTTTATGCACGGTATTTTCTTTTTACACCACCCTTCAAAAGTTTGGGGTCGGTAAGATTTTATAAAGTATTGAAAGATGTCTCTTATGTTCACTCAGACTGCATGTGATACAGTAAAAACAGTAATATTGTGAAATATTATTACAACTTAAAATAAATGGTTTTCTATTTTAATATATTTTGAAATGTAATTTGTTTCTGTGATCAAAGCTGAATTTTCAGCATCATTACTCCAGTCTTCAGTGTCACATGATCCTTCAGAAATCATTCTAGTATACTGATTTGTTGCTTAAGAAATAATAATTAATAACAATAATTTCTTATTATTGTCAATGTTGAAAACAGTTGTGCTACTTAATATTTTTGTGAAAACTGATCCGTTTTCAGGATTTTTTGATGAATAAAAAGTTCAAAACACAGCATTTATTTGAAATAAAGATATTTAGTATTTTGAAATAGTAACATTATAAATGTATTTACTGACTATTTTGGTCAATTGAATGCATCCTTGCTGAATAAAAGCATTCATTCTTTTCAGTAAATAAATAAATAAACCCCAAATGTACTTTCACAAACAAAAAAGTACCATGTTAATGCCATGTCTACTATGGCAATGTAATGATATTCTTTGAAATACCTTGGATTGTAAAGTAAATAGCATAGTGAATGAGTATAGTGGTCATTTATATTAAAATACTATTGTATTACAATCACTGTACCACCAAGGTACAGTTATATTTGCTGGCTTCACCCCTGCTCATTCTCTCTCATTCACTCTTTCCAATCATTCTTATCTCAAAGTAAAATCAACATCCACTGTAAAATTGACTTTAAAATTGTGGTTGGAATTAGTTCTTGTCCTATATGGAGGGGACAGTGTCCAACCTAAAATAACCTATAGCCTTATCAATAAAACATCAACTTATCTCATATTTTTTTAGAAACGTAGTGACCTTAACACACAGTTATGAGGGTCTATTGGGGTCTCTTTGACATATAAATATTGTTTTTTTTTCTACATGCTGGTTGGACTACATGACTTATACATTTCCAGATAACCAATTTGGTTTCTTTTCTAATAAATAATAATAAAAGATTATGACAAACTACTTAATGAGATTGTCTTTTCATGAATTTGACACTTTTAAATGTTTTTTTCTTCATTACATGCTCATCGTAGAATAGGTATTTGACTATGTAAAAGGTAAAGTTTACACAAGTCACTGTATGTAAACTGTGAACTGCATGTTTATTCTATTTTTGAATAAATTGATTGACAGGTCAAAAAAAAAAAACTAGACAAACACACCATCTCACTGACCTTCAGTAGCTGTGCTCGCACATGGGCCTCCACCAGGTGGCTCTTTCGCAAGTTTCCCACTCGCCACATCATGCAGAGTTTCCCGTCCCTCATGGCCACCACGGCCACATCCGAGAACACCAGTGTCTCATTGCGCTTCTTGGGCTTGGCGATCTTAGCCATTACTGCCCCGATGATGAAAGCGTCGATGATGCAGCCCACAATGCACTGCAACACGACAGCCAGCACCGCCAGGGGGCAGGCCTCGGTAACGCTCCGGAAGCCATATCCTATAGACGTCTGCGTCTCCAGAGAAAAGAGGAACGCCGCCATGAAACTGTTCACCTGCTGAAAGCAGCGTTCCTCCGTCTCTGCCACCGTCTCTGCCACCGTCTCCACCCGGCTGGAATCCTCTACTGGTTCCAGAGGAGCCAGAGAGGAGGAAACAGATGAAGGAGAAGAGGAAGATGATGCCGGGGGTGCCAGATCCCCGTGAGCGGCGGCGATGAGCCAGAACATGAAACCAAAGAGAAGCCAGGAGAGCAAGAAGGAGAGGGTGAACACCACGAGCATCCAGCGCCAGCGGATGTCCACGCAGGTGGTGAAGAGGTCGGTGAGGTAGCGCTGGCCCCTTTCGCTCATGTTGACGAAGGTGACGTTGCAGCGCCCGTCCTTGCCTACAAAGCGCCTTCGGGGCCGGCGGGACTGGCCGCGGCGTTCGTGGGGCAATGAAGGCGAGAGGGAAGACGAGGACTTTCTCTTGCTCCTCTCCCACCTCACTTCTGCCCCAGACTCCCCCCCAAGCGCCGAGCCACACCCTCCTCCTCCTCCCCTCCTCCCTCCCCCTTCTTCATCATCGTCATCCTCCGCATCATCATCATCCTCATCCCTCTCTCCGCTCCTTCCTCCATTGCTATCGTGAAGGTTGAGCCCTTTGCCATTGCAGTTGGGTGAAGGAAGTGTGCCTGACTGGGAGGAAGTGGCATCATCACTCTGCGCCAGCCTCATGATTTCCTCCTTGTCCGGAGGGGTGTCCACAACTGCACTGAAACGCCGCTTCACCCGAGCAGCTCCCATTATTGGCAACCACAGGCCGACTACAAAAAGTCTGGGAGAAATTAAGCGTTCAGTAGTTTGCCAGATAAATCCAGGGTCAAAGTGGATTAAAAATATGGATGCAGCAATATATATCCAAAATATGAGTTGTAAATTGTATTCCACAGTGAGGCTTATGGCCTGAAAGAGTCCTTATTGTCATTCAGATCCCGGCAGCCAATCATTGCCCAGAGACGGAACACAATCGCATTTGAAATCATCTCTGACATCATCAAAGAGTCACTACTTGAGTGGTATGTCCACTATAGGTAACTGTCTGGATGATTTTACTGAACGCAAAGTTTCAAAGTTGTTAGATGCATGCAGTGAATAAAGAATCCAGTTTCAATGCAGTTTTTCAGTTTTAGCAATAGTTTTGCTTAGGTTAGGTGGTGGGCAGTGACCAGACAGAGGAAAACGGTGCTGCTTTAGGTCTATGCTTAACGTATAGCAAATTCATAAGAAAGTGAGCAACTAAAAGGCACAAACAAACAAGGCAAAAGCTCAGGCAGAGCAGAAGGATGAACTTATAGAACGTGAAGGAAAAACATAAACAAGCCTCAGTCTTAAGCTTTAGAACATATAGAGGGAAACGGAAAAGAACAGTTTGACATGCATTAAATTGTCTAAAACATATTTGTGTAATAAATTATGAAATGAATGAAAATAACAGCATGCATATACAGACCAAGCTTTCCCTTTAGGACCTCTTCACATTTCCCTATTTAAATTGTGAGATGTTTAAAGACACAAGAGAGACATGCAATTAATAAGAAAACTGGTCAACATTTCCTAACAAATATGACCTCTTTGTCTTCAATATTGAGCAAATATAACTCTGGAACACAGAACAAGTCCATTTCATATTAGACATCAAAACAATTCAAACAGTCAAAAGTGACATTCTGCCACAGTCATGTTTCCATCTCCAGTCTGCTTTCAACATATTTTCCAGCCTCACAGCAAGAGCTCATTTCTCCAAAAGAAAGGGACATTTTAATTGAAGTTCTATAACTGAATTATTATTCAAAATTTGACAAGGAAAGTGCACACATTACAATAGTAAGAGGTTCAGAGTGAGATAAATTATGACCTGTTGATTCACTTTGATCTCTCCAAAAGCTTTAAAAAGCTTGGCGATGCTTTGAGATCTTCCTCAGAGTCCAAGTGCAGTTTGGTCATCAACAAAACACATGCAATTGGTGAAATGTCGCCTAAAAATGAACATTAGGTCAGACAAGTGTAAGCTGAAGCACAGATCTTTAACATCACAGATTAAAAAAATTAAATGATTGGGGAACCAAACGTTCAGACCTGATAAGTGGTGTTACCTTTTTATATACCTCCTTTGAGAAACCTGTAGTTTGAGGCTTAATAAACGTGATAGAAAAGAGAATCTTTAAAAAAAGCTGTCTAGTCATGAAAAGACCACTTGCACAGGAACATATCCAAGGATGAAATGGGAAAATATAACACTCAAAAGAGAATCAAGAAATGTGAGCATGGAGAAAGAAAATTTTTAAAGTGAGAGGTGCACAAGGTTTCATCTTTAAATATCTGCTGGCCTTGAAATTTGTGGTAGAATATTTCCATGGCAAATACAACTCAAGAATAGTTTGTCAGGCCCCTGTCACATTCCTTATTATTTGAATCTGCGGTTTTTGCGTTGAGGACATCACAGTCTCTGTTAACTCCTAGAGAGAAAACATGTTATGAAAGTTAATATGAAATTTAAAGACAAGATAAAACTTTGTGAATCTTTGTGACATGAAATCTGCATTGCAAACATGCTGATTATGTCTGATTATAATAAAAAATAATTCCAATTTCAAAATTCAAACAAGCTTTTTTATTTTATAGATTCATAAATAAAAAATTTATAATTACCTATGCTGACAGTTAATGAAGTGCATAGATCATCCTGTGTCTTCTTTATTTGCCCTTCCAGTCAGCAGAAATCGGCTGCAAAAGATAAAATATTATGTAAAAGATTAGTCTTCCTAAAAAAAAAAGTATATATATATATATATATATATATATATATATATTTTTACGGGGCGACCCTCATATTGTTACGGGGCGACAGAGACGTGAGACGTGCGGATCCATCTGCATGCTTTTATTTAAAGGCGTGGTCATGAAACAGGCATGGGTCGATACACAGCAAACAGTAATAGAAGAGGCAAAACAAAGAGTAATCCAAAGGCTAGTGTGGGTCTGAGATCAGCAAACAATGTCCAGAGAGCTAGGGAAAAGAAGAATCCAAGACAGGCAGGAGATCAGGAAACAGGCAATCAGGCACAAAACTAGACGTGACTAGACTAGAGCTAGGAACTAGACAAAACTCGGAAATGGCTCCGTAACGTTGCGATCACTGACGTGGCGATAAGTGCAAACAATACTCGGCAGTGAGAAAGAGGAAGTCCATGGCTTATGTAGGGTGTTTGATTGGTTGCAGCTGTGTGTGTAATCAGTGCAATGGATGATGGGAAATGTAGTCCGGTGTGAAGTGCAATAGTAGTGTGGTGCAAGAGCCCATCATAATGAGTCGGTGATCTCTGGTGGTGAGTGAACGGAAGGGCAGGCACAAGATTCGTGACAGAGTTCATAGATGGCCTCCTTGGCCGGAACAGGACAGGACGAGAGCCGATAAGTGAAAACCACTGACACCTCTGGAGGTTCTGCAGCGATTGTCGCCACCTCTGGAGGTTCTACAGCAGTAACATCAGAAAACAAGGAGAGTTCAGTAATGGTCTCCTTGACTGTGACACGACAGGCTGAGAGTGCATTGCTGGGCAGCGCCACCACCATGCAAGGAGCTGAAGCGAGCACCGCCGCCTCGGGAGGTTCTGCAGCATATGCCGCCACCGCTGGAGAAACTGCAGCGGGCACCATCACTTCGGGGAACACAGCAGCGAGCACCACTACCTCAGGAGGTTCTGCAGCATCAGCTGCCACCTCTGGAGACACCATAGTGGACGTCGCCACCTTGGGAGGTTCTGTGTTGGTGTATGCAGCCCAAACACACCAAAAAGCGATCCCCATCATGGGAAGCACTTCAGAGAGGGGAATCAGTTCAGGAACAGGAGGGCTAGAGTGAGTGGGTTTGGGGATACCAGCTGCGCATGCAGACACCAGTGGTGCATCCCTCACACTAGATACCAGACTGGGATACCGATGGACTGACCTTGACGATCTGGGTGCAACAGACAGGACGTGACAAGACTCTGGATGATCAGCTGTGATGTGACGTGACTCTGGACGTACAGCTGACACGTGACGTGACTCTAGAAGATCAGCTGAGACGTGACGAGACTCTAGAAGATCAGCTGAGACGTGATGAGACTCTAGAAGCTCAGCTGAGACGTGACGAGACTCTAGAAGATCAGCTGAGATGTGACGTGACGAGACTCTGGACGATCAGCTGGGACGTGATGAGACTCTGGACGATCGGCTGAGACGTGACGAGACTCTGGATGATCGGCTGAGATGTGACTTGACTCAGGAAGATCAGCTGGGACTTGACTTGACTCAGGAAGATCAGCTGTGACTTGACTTGACTCAAGAAGATCAGCTGTGACTTGACTCTAGAAGATCAGCTGTGACTTGACTTGACTCATGAAGATCAGCGGTTATGTGACTTGGCTCATGAAGATCATCTGTGACGTGACTTGACTCATGAAGATCAGCGGTGGCCTGACTTGACACAGGTGACATGATGGGATGTTGTTGTGGCTGCCTTTTTGCGAACGGGCTCCGCTGACGCCGCCATTTTGTGAGCGTGCTCTAGTATGGCCGCCTTTACACGAGTGAGTGTGGTGTCGCGTTCCTCCGCGAAACCCACAGTGAACGCTGAACCAACAGTCCACAAAACATAATCCAAAAAACTACTCAGTGATGAACGAGGACTCTCCTGAATCACTCTTGACTTTAAAGGCTGGTTAAGACCATCACAGAAAAAGTCTATTAACATACAGTCCGGTAATTCTGAGCCATTTGCCAAAGCCAAATATTCCACAATGTAACCCTCGAGTGATCGTGTGCCCTGCTTGAGCGCTAGTTGCAAAATCGCTGCAATCATACCTGGCCAATGTTCCTTGGTGAAGCCGCTGGATCCTTGTCAGGCCGAGTATTCTGTTACGAGGCGACAGAGACATGAGACGTGCAGATCCATCTGCATGCTTTTATTTAAAATGCATGGTCATGAAACAGGCATGGGTCGATACACAGCAAACAATAATAGAAGAGGCAAGACGAAGAGTAATCCAAAGGCTAGTGTGGGTCTGAGATCAGCAAACAATGTCCAGAGAGCTAGGCAAAAGAAGAATCCAAGACAGGCAGGAGATCAGGAAACAGGCAATCAGGCACAAAACTAGACGTGACTAGACTAGAGCTAGGAACTAGACAAATGACTCGGAAACGTTGCTATCACTGACGTGGCGATAATCGCAAACAATACTCGGCATTGAGAAAGAGGAAGTTCATGGCTTATGTAGGGTGTTTGATTGGTTGCATCTGTGTGTGTAATCAGTGCAATGGATGATGGGAAATGCAGTCCGGTGTGAAGTGCAATAGTAGTGTGGTGCAAGAGTCCATCATAATGAGCCGGTGATCTCTGGTGGTGAGTGAACAGAAGGGCAGGCACAGGATTCGTGACATATATATTTGAAAAGCCACCTTGGCTTTGGCTTTGAATATAACACTGCAAGTTAAATACATGTCTCACAAGTTATTTTTAAGCAAAAAAATATTTTTCCGTGCCGTGTGTAGTTCACTATTTGGAGAGTGTTTGTGCGAGTCACATCTTATTTATTTCACCACCAGCCTTTGACCTCTGACTCTAACCTCTACACACTATACTATAACCTAGAGATGTGTGTGTGTGTGTGTGTGTGTGTGTGTGTGAATGTTCTGTTTTAGATGATAGATCTCATTAGAGCACTAAACCTATTGATTAAATCAATGCTGCTGAAAATACACCACTGACGGAGAGCCATTCATGTTCTCTAATAAAATTATCTGCATCAGCTAGCTACACTCATGGTTTTGGCTTTAATTCCTCAGGTTTTCTTTTTAGCATGCCACTATTATGATTTTACTTTGACATTAGTTACCACCATTTTATGCTTCTTGTTAAAGTTATCTCACTAAATAAAGACTAATATGAATAATGAAAGGGTGCTCCTTTTAGAAAAAGTTCACTTGGAACAGATATTATTTTTTTAATTGCACATAAATTTGTATTGTTCACAATTAATGGAGTGACAATGATGTGCAACCACCAAAAATTTGTTTCTAAAGTAACCTTAGCATAATAATACTCTTTAAAACTCTTTAAACTCTTTAATTTTCTGTGTGGAGGCAGGACTCCAATTGAGGGGGACGCGGGGGATGGCATCTCCCTAGTTGAAAAAAAAAAAGACAAAAAGCATTCCCTCTGTAAAACCACCATCCCCCATTACCATCCCCTTTAGATTATTAATGTTGTGTATTATGTAAAACTTATCATGCAAATTAAATGTTACAATTCTCAAATTCTCTATGTATGACCATTTACGAACTAAATAACAGTGATTGGCCAATCAGAGCTGCGCACAAGCGGAAGCAAGTTTTCGTAATTTTTCGCACAAAATGGTTCAAGCAGCAACTTTTGAAGTTCTTTAAAAAGAAGACAACAGAAGGTATGATTTTTCCTTGATTAGAATTGAAAGACATTCCCCTGACATAACGTTATTGTGTGTGACTGTGAGGGACTGAGAGACGATAGGAGAGCTGACATTATCGAGTGTCACCGACTGCGCTATGAATCTAGAAGGCAGTTAGAATGCCCTTATAATTCAAGCAATGAAAGAAAAAATACCTATGAGTTTTTATATTCATCGCACAAGCAATGTACTTTGCTGAATATTAGAACGCTATTCATTTTATACAACAGTGCAGAGCAACACGGTGTTTCGTTCCTTGAATGAATCTGTTTTTGAACGAATAGAGTGAGCCAGTGATTCAGCGGTTATTAGTTGGACTCCCTTCTTGTTTAGTTTCTGATTGAATCAGAAGTTTTGGACGAATCATTTTATTTGAATGATTCACTAAATCATTTATCAAAACAGACTTTCTGCCACCTACTGGTGGTTTTGTTGTCAAATTTATTTCTCTATGCCAAGCCTAAACCAGCCAAGGTGCCAGCACAAAATCACATTTAGAAAAATGTCGTTTAATTATCAATACTGACCAAAATTCCTCCCTTTCAGGCCCCAGAAGGAAAACAGCTTATAAATAGTTCATTTAATAAAGCCAATTTATCATTAAATAAAAATCTGTTTAAAAATGAGACAAATTTTGTAATCATTGTGTAAAATTAGTTACCACCAAAGAAATTGACTACTACATCCCCCCTGAATTTTTTTTTTACACTTTGACCACTGTGTGGAGGTCTTTTTTGACCTCCTATTAGTTTAAATGAACTGCAAATAAAAATACTAAATTGATTTAAAATTAAAATGTAAACCTAATAGTGTAATTATAACAAAAAAGCATTTAAAACATGTCAAAAAATGTATGTCACATTTTGGGATTTGCACTACTTATACCAAACAATAAGCACATTTTGAAATAAATCATGTGAAGATACAACAAATTAAATTTTTCAACTGAACTCTTTTTTTTTTTCAAACTGTTATGCTAATAATATAATTTTTAATGAAAAAAGTCTACTAAATTTTCAAAAGTGGTCTCAGATTTTTGGACTAAATTGAATTTAAATGTAGACTTAGAACCTTGATGTTGGGGGAAAAATGTTTTTTAAGCATTATCAACAATTTCAGTGAACTTCATGTATAATAACAGACTCTCTCTCACTTTCTCTTTCCTTGTCTTTCTGTTCCTCATGTTGGACATGTCTGGTGAAATCTCCCATGCTGCTTATGAGAGCTGAGAGCTACTCAAACACCCTTGATCCTCTC